GAGCTCAGGGCCACCCTGAGCCAGTGAAGCCTGCCAGCCATGACCGAGGGTCATGCCCCGCACGCTTGCTGAAGGTGCCTCTTGCTGCATCAGCAGGTGATGACTGAAGGCCAAATTCGGGGGGGGTGGTGTTATTCAGCACAGGTCTCAGCACTTAATGCCCTGCCTGGGTCGAGGGGCCCTGGTCTGCAGGCAGAGGGGAGGGCTAGGGGCATCGGCCAGCACTGGGCGCTGCAGCGGAGGAGCCCTGGCCGGCTGCTTGCTCCAACTTAATTTAGCTCCTGCTGTTTCTGCAGGAGATCAAGCTAGCGCCCACGGACCAAACTCAGGGCTGGTGCAGCCCCAGCACCTGAGATGGGTCCTGCTCCGCTCCCCAGGCACAACGGAGTTTGGGGGCAGGAGCCCGGGGAGGGAAGGCAGCAGCCAGCTGGGGACACCTAAGGCCCAGCTGCAGACCATCACAGAGGGAAAGGCACCAGCCCAGTGAGCTCAGGACGTGGGAGCGGGCAGTTAAGCTCTCAGATGTTCAGGGCCATGTTTCGGTACAGGGTCATGATCGTATTTGAGCAAGGAGGAAGGACTGGGAGATGTGGATGCAGGGCCAGCGCTGGCTCAGGGTTTATTTGGATGATGCCCAGGATGAAGGGATGGGGTAAGGGAGATGAGAGGGATTCAGGCACAGGGAGAAGGAAGGGCCCGTAGAGATGGCAGAGACTTGCACGGAAGGAGGAGACAGGGATGGGGCAGGTGGTGAAGCACTGTGCCAGGGGATGTGATGTTCCAGCACCGGGGCTGTCCGTTCCCCCATGGCATTAGGAGCACTCAGATCTCTTCAGGGTCTTCTCCTTGGGTCCAGTCTTGTGTGTGACCCTGCAGGTGTAGGTCTCGTGGCTCTTCCAGTCAATGGTACTCAGCATCAGGTAGCTGCTGGCCATGTACTGGTTGTTGGTCTGCCGCTGGGGCTGGCTGGTCCCAATGCCACTGGTGAGGGCATGGCCATCGGCTAGCCAGGACACCTGCATGGCGCCAGGGTAGAAGTCTCCCAGCAGACACACCAGGGTGGCTTTGTTCTGTGACAAGAGCTCCTCGGCAGTCGCGGGAAGAGGTGGATGGAGGGGGAGGCCTTGGGCTGGCCTGCGAGGGGAGAGAGCAGCGTGGAGGGTGCGGATGTGGAAGGAGGAAGGTCTTTAAAGCGTGGACACAGCTGTACCTGAGGGGTTTTGGTCCTGGCTGGAATCTTTCAGTGCAGCTCCTACCGCTAGCAAAGGAGCTAATAGCTCAAGGTCTCTGCGGTCAGCTTTTTTTTTCTTAACGTTCAGCCTAGCAATCTAAAAAGACTGCCCTGGAGGTAAGAGGCCCCAGCTCTCCAGAGGACACAGAGCATGCATGTCTGCAGGATCCCCTGCCATCAGCATCCCACGCCTTGGCCCCGTGCCACGTGTGTGTACAGCTGCAGCCAAAACCCAGCCACGCTGCTTTTTGGAGGCTGAAGAGGCAGCCATCCCTCCGAGTGCCACTGAGATGTGAAGAGGCAACCGTGTCCGCAGCCAGCAACCCAACCTGTTGGCTCAGACGTGAAGCCCTTCCATTTCAGCCCCCTATATATTTCCTCATCATACCATAGGGCATGCCTGGGAGCTTCTCCTTAGGAGAACGATGCTAAGAAATTTCTGTTTCATAAACTCCAGTATAATCTGACAAATACATAGATATATTTAACCCAGTAACTCCTGCACCCAGACAAGTTGAATGAGATCCACAGCAGAGGGTCTGCAGGTTGGAAAGGATCAAAAATGTTTTGCAAGCAGCAAAGCCCAATTAGCCCGTAAAACCTTGTTTCCTCCTGTCAAGGAAAGGCACATGACTACGTTTCAGTGTGGTTAGACAGCTGGAGGACACACTACTATAACCAAATGGAGAAGTTGAAGAAAGAAAGAAAGAAAAAAAAAAAAAAAAGCCACCTCAAACCCCAGGAAGAGCCCATAAAGCCCCTGGCATGTGGAAGACCCTGTGTGAGCATCAGAGCATCTTACTGAGGTCACTCAGCTGGGTCCCTCCAAATGCAGTGAGACACGCTGCTGTGTAGAAGGGGCCCGAGCAGCTGCTTATGCACGGCCAGCGGCCCCAGCGCCCCGAGAGCGTGGTGGGGAGGCTGTCGGGCTCCCAGCCATGGACGCAGCCTGTGGGGTGCCACTTGCTGGGGGTGATGGAGTAGGGATGGTATTTGTGCATCCTCCCCTCTACCCATCTCTTCCAAGGGATATCCAGCAGCTATGCTGCCGTTGGCCAAGGTCTTTGCTGAAATCACAAGTCAATCCCTCTCCGAACACCCCCTGTATAAAACGCTCGTTGGCTCACAAGTTTTAGTGAAGGTCCACCCCTAGTTTGGGCCAATCTGCCTTTGGCAGCTTTACGATCAGTCCCACCCTGTCTCTGGGGAGGGGGTGGCAGCTCACCTGGTGCAGCTTCATCCTGTTTGAGGACTGCAGCACTCCCCTGCAGCACTCCTCCCCGGGCCGGGTTGTGCGGAGATGCTGGAGATGCTGCGAGCATGGGCAGCTCTGAGTGGGAGGCATGGCCTGGGCTACGGGCAAGTCAGGGGCCAGGGGGATGCGAGGAACACGAAGTAAAGGGCGCGTAAGAGCAGCAGGTCCTAGCACATGCGTGTGCTGAGAGGGAACATACGTGACTGCCAGGGTGAGCACAGTGCAGGGCAGACAGCCCGTGTGCTACCGGTCCTGCCCTGGGCACCCTCCTGCCTTTGGGAGCTGAGGTGGAGCGTGCCAGAGCAGCCTTCAGCACCAAGCGAAGCACTTAAACCCATCTCAACAAGTTCTGCCAAGGTGGTGGCTGCTTCCCAAGGCACTGGAGGTGGGGGATGGTGCTGCTCCACCAGCTAAACCAGCTCCAGAGCGACAGGGAGGAGCAGCATGGACAGAAGAGCATGACAGACATATTTTCCTTGCACAGGAGACGGGGAGACCGCAGAGACCTGCAGGTTTGCTCTGAGCACCCTGCCAGCCGTATCCCCTACCCATCCAGGAACACAGCTGCCCCTGCCCATTCTGCCTCCCCCAGGCTGCATCGCCCTAATAACGCCCACCTTCACAGCCCCTTGGAGCGGCAGCCCTCAGGTGAGGGCTCCTGGGAGCATCTGCCAAGGGCCAGGGCAGGTGAAGAGGGTGGGAGAGGAGACATCAGAGGCTGATGGTAAAGAGGAAGAGCTGGGACTAGTGGAGAAAAGCATGTAAGGGATGTGGATGCCTACACACAGCTGCAGTAACCAAAGCAGGGGTGAGCCAGAATGGGTTTCAGCTAAGACAGATGTCGTGGTTTAACCCGGCTGGCAACTAAGCACCACGCAGCCGCTCGCTCACTCCCCCTCCTCCCTCAGTGGATGGGGAATCGGAGAAAAGAAAAAAAAAGTAAGACCCACGTGGGTTGGGATAGAGACAGTTTAATAAGAGAGAAGAATAACAATAGTGATAATAATAATGGTAAGAGAATATACAGAATATATAAAACAAGTGATGCACAATGCAATTGCTCACCACCCGCTGACCGATGCCCAGCCCGTCCCGAGCAGCGATCACTCCCTCCCGAGCCGCGATCACATAGCCTGAGCTGCGATCACTCTGCCCACGACCGACCGACTAACCCCCCCGAGCATGACGTTCTATGGTATGGAATAGCTCTTTGGACAGTTTGGGTTAGCTGTCCTAGCT